TTAAAAAATAATAAATCTTAAAAAAAGATTTCCACTTCTGAGAAGGAATCAAAGATAATATTTCAAGGTGTTTTATTTCTGAAAGGGTAGACAAGAATTCCAAAATCAAGTTAAGTGTTTTGTTTAAAAGTTAATAAAACTACAACAGGTATAATTGCCTTGTTTTAGTTGACTGAAAGTTAAACTAGGGAAAACAAATTCAAAAGTTTTACTTAAGAATATTGGTAAGTCTGTTCTGCTATTCCCACAGTTCACCTGGTTTTATGTTTCTTGAATACTACTCAAAATCTGATGTCCTAACTTCTCTACTGGTGACAGCTAGTAATCAGAATTGGCTATCCTCAAATGGGGGCAGTAATAAAATATATACAATTATTTAAGTACTCTAAAAATGTCTTCTGAAAAAAAAATAAAATTTCTATATCTAGAATTTTCCTTGATAATTTTATAGTGTCGGGTGTGGGGGGGGTGCTTATTTTAGCTAAGTTGAGACATTATATTACTTGGTGTGATGGATTGTTACATCAATGCCTCCAATGAATTTCACCTTCTGATATTCATGTATGGGCATAGTCTTCTCCATCATGACCATGAACTTGATCTTGGGCTTTGGTGAATGGAGCATAAGCAAATATGATTCAAGCAGAGACTTCATAAGCACCAGGTAAGAAACCTGAGCTATCTTGCTGATAAGAGCAAAATAGAGAATCAAGGTACCCACTGCCAAAAATATGAATGAGGACACCAGGGATGTGAGCCATTCCCTAGCCAGCCTACCAACAGACTGAAATACAAGCATGAACTCATTTAACACTACATGGAGCAAAAAGAACTGTTCAGCTGGGCCCAGCCCAAATTGTTAACCCAAATCATGAGCAAATAAATGGTTGTTGTTCTAAGGCACTGCATTGGGGATGGTTTGTTATGTACCAGTAGATAGCTGATATACCTGAGAAGTTCAGAGTAAGTTGGAGGTAGAAGAATAAGATTGGAGTTTGACCTACATATTGCCTAAGTATTTTATGGTCTAACCTTCTTTAATTCTCTAATACTGAAGCTAACACATTAAAAGGGATAATTTTCTGGTCAACTGATCATCCTCTATAAGGTCATAATAGAATGAGATAAGAGTTTTTGCTTTCTTCTATGTCAAACAAGCATGTATGAGACTAACTCTCCTAGTGAAAACTAACAAAGGATCTGGGTAAAATGCATAAAAATATCTCTGCGAAGACATCAAAGAGCAACCAAGGCACCCAGAACCTGTGAAGCTTTCGAAGAGAAAATGCATTAAAAATGAATCTTTCATTTCTAGTGAATCCTTAATCCAAGAAGTTCCATAGACCCTAAGTGGGATAAATTCAAAGAAAACCACACCAGTGTATAGCATTAGTCAGCATTTGCCAATTTATAAGCTGCATGGAGTCCAGAGACTAAGAAGTAGAAGAAGTTATATAGGACTTTTGGAAATTTCATGGTCCTAGGATGCAAATTGGTACCCAGGTCCAGCCAAAGAAAGAGTCCTGGTAAACACTGTAATCTTTTATCAAACCACTAGGAAAACACCCTAGGAATATGGATAAGTTGTAAATACATCTGCCCTCAAAAAGACTGGAATCCACATTGAATCAGCTCAATCACATACAAAATGAAGGTGATCTGTCTCTACTCTAATGAATAGAAGTGAATGTAAATCTTCTCAAGAGGAAGATAATATCCTGAGCATCTATACTTTTTCATAAACAATATCTATTATTCAATCAAAAGTTACCAAGCATAAGGAGACAAGAATAAAAAAAGAGAACAGACCCATAGGCGATCAAGACATTGGATTCCTCAGACTTGGACTTCCAAATAACTTTAAAAACTTGGTTAAAATGTGGAAAATTTCAGTAGAGAACTGGAATCCACTAAAAAAAAGGGTTAAATGAAAATTTGAGAAGTGAAAAACATAGTAACTAAAATTTAGAACTCAAAAGATGTGTTTCACAGCAGTTTAGACACTGCTGATAAAGGCAGCAACAAACTAGAGAACATGAAAATAGAATATATCCAGATCTGTGAAGGGTCTGAGATTTTACCCTACTTGCAAGATAGCTTGCCACAGTTTCAGAGGGGCTGATTGAAGATCCAAGACTCCTGGGTCAGAGGTAAAGGAGAGCGTATTATTCACAGTAATAGTAGGTGTCAGAGTATCAATATTTGGGACAGATCTCCCATCTTAACTCATAGAGGGCTAAGCAAAAAGCATCAGATGACATCTGCACATACCATGGGTTGTAGTACAAGAGAGGAACCCTGAGCTAGGAAACCTGAATCTTTATAATTGATAGTAATGTGTCTACCCTTTGCTCCAGAAGGAGATATTTCTATCTTCCAAGGTTGTCTGCTATACAGAAGTCCTTGAAAGATAGTACAGAACAAAAGGCAGGCAGTGCTTCACTTCATAAGACATGCAAAAATGCAAGAAATCCATGGAGAACTGTCTCCCAACAAACTAAAGCTCAGAGAAGCAAGAGGATGGAAAATATTAGAAAAAGCATAAGAGACATGTGGGACCTAGTGTAAACATCTAGCATATTAGCACATCTGTAATTGAATTTCCAGAAAGAGGAGAGAGAGAGAGAGAAAAAAAGGAACAAAAGCAATGGCTGAGAATTTTCTAAAAGTGACTGAAGATATCACGCCACAGATTCAAGAAGTTCTATGGACATTAGGCAGGATTAAGTCAAAGAAAACCACATTTATGCCTATCATAATAAAACTTGAAAGACAAAGACAAGATACTGAAATCAGAGAAAAAAAGACATTCTGTTCAAAGAAGCAAAAATAAAACTGACAACTAAATTCTTAAAGAAAATGATGGGATCCAGAAGGCAATGGAATGCCATTTTCAAATGCTAAAGGAAAATCATTGCTAACCTAGAATTCTATACCCTCAAAATATATCCTTTAAAAAATGAAGGCGAAGTGATAACATTTCAGAAAAGCAAACCAAAGGGACTTCTTCAGCCAGAAGGATAATCATCCCAGATGGAAACATGGAAAAGCAGGATACAAGGTGGAGCACAGAGAAGGTGATTTGACTGTTTCCAAAACAATAATAGCAATGACTTGCAGCATTTTAAATATTTGAAGGAGGAAATAGGAGGAGGGTATATGAAGAATTCTATGAAGAATTCTAACGACTTTTCAGTGACTGTAAAGAGGTTAGAGCATTAATTTTTATTAGACTCCAATAATTAAAAAATGCATATAGTAATGTCTAGGATAATTACTATAAGCACAAAAGGATGCCTAACTAAAAAGCTAATGTAAAGGAAGAAATGGAGTAATAATTTTTTTAAAAACTTGATTGTCCCATAAAAAAGTAAGGAGAGAGTACAATAAAAGGAAATGCTCCATGTATTACAAATAGAAAATAAATCATAAGATAGGAGATTTAAACTCAAATATGTAATTGCATTAACCATAAACAGACTAAAGGAACAACACAAGTGATAGGTAAGTAAGGAATAAGGATGAGTAAGCTCTGGTAGAGAAAGAGCTGAAGGATTGCACAGACGTGGACAGAGAGTAGGAAGGGGACTCGGACCTAACTCAGGGGACAATTTGAGGGCCTCAAAGCTGAAGGAAGGGAGGACTGTATCAGAAGGGACTTACCTGCCTGGGATAGCCATTCCACACCTCCCAAAGGTCATATACCCAAGGTTTCTGAAAAAACAAGGAACCAAGAGAGAAAAAATAAGTTTGTCAGAGTCAAAGGCTGATTTCAGCAGAAAACATAAGCTCTTCCTGATGTCATTGACAGGGCCACACATAACAGTAAGACTGTTGTTCCTGCTGCATCTCTTTCTCTCTTTAGGTATTGATACATGTCCCCATACAATGTGCCTGGGACGCTCACGACTTCTAGTGAATCTGGGACCACACACGGTGCTGCCTCACACAGGAAATTATTCAAATAGGGACGCCTGGGTGGCTCAGTCAGTTAAGCATCTGCCTTTGGCTCAGATCATGATCCCAGGGTCCTGGGATCGAGCCCAGCATCGGGCTCCCTGCTCAGCGGGGAGTCTGCTTCTCCCTCTCCTTCTGCTCCTCCCCCTGCTCCTTCTCTCTCTCTCGCTCGCTCTCTTTCTCTCAAATAAATAAAATCTTTAAAAAAATCTTTTTAATCTTTTTAAAAAAAGGAAATTATTCAAACAAGTGAAACCTCTAATGATATGATTTCTGAACCAATCAGATTACTCCTTCTGTAGCAATAAAAATATCTTAAATCTTGAGCAAAATCTCTAAAAGCTGGTTATCTTTTTTTTTCTGTCAACAATTTATTATGAAGTTTATATATCACTTAATGAGGTAATCATTTAGTGACTATTTAAACAGACAATGCAAAGGTCTGTTCAGGGGATTGTCAGTAGTCCAGGGTAGTTGGCACATGGGTCGTGTGAGTGGAAATAGGGAGAGATTAGGTTTCAAATTTATGTTTGCCAATCCAATGCTTAACAAAGGCTTTGAAAGACAAACTGAGGAGTTACGACTTCTCTAGGCATCTGTGTGGTTTTTAAAAGCATGAAAGCTGGTTAGCTTATTGAGAACCTTATTTCACGAGGAATTCATAGGCAACAGTTTGTTTTTTTTTTTTAAAGATTTTATTTATTTATTTGAGACAGAATGAGAGAGAGAGAGAGCACATGAGAGCGAGGAGGGTCAGAGGGAGAAGCAGGCTCCCCGCCGAGCAGGGAGCCCGATGCGGGACTCGATCCCGGGACTCCAGGATCATGACCTGAGCCGAAGGCAGTCGCTTAACCGACTGAGCCACCCAGGTGCCCATAGGCAACAGTTTTTAAAATCAAAGACAAATCCCCATCAAAGAATATCAAAGAGACAACTTACATCATAAAGAAATACAATTCCAGCAACAGTAATCATTAAGTAAAATGCAAATCGCCAGCTGCCAAAAGAAAGAAACATCTGGTAAAGGTGATTGACATGTGAGGAGAAATACATTTGGTAGGACAGTATTCTGGAAAGAATGCACGGGCACATCTAATTTGATATCCTGACTGCCACTTGTTTGATGGCTGTAGGGAAGTTGCTTAACCTCAGGAAGCCTTCATGTCTTCATCTATAAAATGGGAATGACAAAACTTACCTCAAAATGTAAAAAGAATTGAAGCTAATTTGTGAAAACTATTGATCAGGGTGCCCGGTATGAAGCAAGCAATAACAAGTGGGGGATACTGTTACGACTGTTTGCAGCGCGCCTGACACACAGTAGACAACGGGTTGACATTAGTACTAATCGAATCATTTATTTTAACCCCACTTAAGTCCCAGTGAAAAGGTTTCCATGCGGCCAGACTTCAGTCTTGTTTCTGAAAAGCAGATTTTGAAAAAAAAAAATCTTTTTCTCCTGTATGGAGAAAGACCTATAGATTAAGAGACTTAAAAGACATACCAGTCAACTGTATTGCATGGCTTTTATTAAGGTCCTGATTCAAACAAACAAACGGTAAAGAAAATTATGAGTTAATCAAGGTAATCTGAACACTGAATATTTACTATTATTAAAGTTTTTTTAAGATTTTATTTATTTATTTTAGAGAAAGAGAGAGAGAGAGAGGGCGCAAGAAGGGGGAGGGGCAGAAGGGGAGAGAGAGAGGAACAAGCAGACTCCCCGCTGAGTGCAGGGCCCAACACCAGGCTCGATCTTACGACCGTGAGACCACGACCTGAGCCAAAATCAAGAGTTCGCCCGCTTAACCGACTGAGCCACCCAGGCACCCGTTATTAAAGTTATTTTAAGGTATGATAGTGGTATTGCAATTTTGTTTAAAATAGAGTCCTTATCTCTTAGAGATACATACTAAAATATTTACAATGAAATCATACAAAGTCTGATATTTGTGTCAAAAGTAATCGTCAATGGGCGCCTGGGTGGCTCAGTTGGTTAAGCGACTGCCTTCGGCTCAGGTCATGATCCTGGAGTCCCGGGATCGAGTCCCGCATCGGGCTCCC